CATTCTAAGTGTCTATCAGCATAATTTACATGTGCAATTAACTATTTATAAGTAGCCAAATAATTAATTTACAAGACAGGAAACACAAATAGACAGGATACTATATGTACGGTCAAAAAGATAACGCATTAATATACACCAATCAGAATGAAATGTCATTTTGGTGATCAAGTTAATGTAGAAAAAGAGCAATATTCTCCCCCAATGTCATATGCTTGGATACCACAATGAGCTAGCGAAACAGAATGACAGGAACCTCTCTGACTGAAGTTCCTAACAAACAGATGTCTGCGTATGGATGTGTTACAGTAGACTTGCATGTGTGGAATGCTAAGAGGTCGGGAGAACCAAAGGGTGCCAGAAAATGGAAAAAGGGAAGGCCACAGACGCAAAAACTAAAACAATAACAGATATAGAGAAAGAGATCAGAAAGGTGGACGACAAAATATCAGGTTTGCCAAGAAAGTGGGCTTATACTTCCTATAATCTGCTCAAGATGTTAGCTCAAAATATTATGAATAAAACTACTTTACTACTTTAGCTGTCCACCATCTTCCCTGGACTAAACCATACTTCACTCAGGTGGAATATTTCTCATGGTTGGCTTAATAAGAGATTGAAACATTAGCGTCATGGTTTGCTGACACCACCACCACTCAGCTTTTGTAGCATTGAGAGTTTTTTTTTAATAACAGGAATTAGAAAGAGGATGTGGACAGGAAGACAAAGATAAGGATGTGAATTATAGAGATAAACAGATGAATCACTGTCTAATCCTAACTTTGACTCCTGTTGGTTAGAATAAAACACTTTCACCCGCCAGACAAGCTGACACATTTTGTTCTTGTTTGTCAATAATTGTGGCGGTGGTTTTGCAGATTTGGGCAGCCAAATGGCTCTTCCTAATCAGAGACGTGATCAACAATTGTCAAGTGCACTGTGAGAGGGGCAAATTTAGAAAATGGACAAAAAAGACAGGGACAGAATGGAGATAAGTAGTCTGAATCCGTATCTAATACTACGCGAGCCTACGTGGACAGAAAGTTGCACATTCTCTCCAACCACTTTTTAAAGAGTTACCAAATACAAGAATACAGTCCACTGTAATACAACCAATGAACAGTTTCATTAACACTGTACAAATGAACAACAAAGCCTATAATGGCAGCTAGGTACAGCCCAACAACACAAGGGAATTCTACTGTCGAGGCACTCCCCTCAAAATACAGTGAACTCACAGTTATTATAACAACATTAAGATACATAGAGGGGGTGAAGTGAGTTGCTGGGAATATTTGTTTTTCCATTTAACATTACATAAAGTCCCAAAACCCCTTTTTGGACCAGATCTTAATCCCATGACATAAAACAGGTACAAAAAAGGGTGTATTCAGCAAAGAGATGAATCAAATAGACGAAGCAGTACAGTCAGCATGTTCTGAGTCTGAGCCTTCAATGCTATTTCATTTTGCATCATGCCATTAGTAATTAAATGACTAACTGTAAATGAACACACATATTTAAGCCCAAAGTACAGGAAAAAAACTAGATGAAAGCTTTTCATTATAATTAAATCCTATAATAAAGGCTGTGTCACACCGCCCACTATAACAATTGGCTTCCATACCCTCTGTGTAGGACTGTGTGTGAATGTGTGCGTATGTGACAACAGCGAAAGCGCCCTGTTGATTTAGTTCCCCCTCTCCTTAGGGAGAAATTCTGTTGTTGTCTTCCAAAATACACACACCCACCCATAAGCACACAATGCACTCACTTGGAAACAAACTTGTGGTGTGGCTTTTGTTGCTTGATAATTGTTTTTAGGCGAACATAATTTTGCTAGCAGAGACAGCTAACCCATAACCATGAATCAATGAGATGGTAATGGAGCCATAGGGGGAAAAAAACACTCAGTATACTGTGGCAACATTGCATGAGGAACTCTCTCTCCCTTTCCGCCCTTTCTGTCTCCCTCTTTTCTCCCCTATGCTTAAGTTTCCATTGCTTCTACTTTTCATAGTCATTCAGCAAATCCTATACAAAAAATAAAAATGTCTTAAGAAGAAACAAACAAACCAATAAAAGTGAAATTGAATTAGTTTGCCGTCGGCTTACCTCCATAACCATTACTTCTCCCTCTACCCTTCCCACAGAAAGCAAGTCAGGTAAATAATCGCCTCTGCTTTAATTAATAAATGCATCATCCTTAATGAGAGGGGCTTGTTAGGCACTGTGGCAACCGCTACTGGTCTGTTTTTCTTTTGATTTTTTTCTCTTTCCTTTTTTTAACTTTCAAACTTCAAACTTAATTTCCACCTCTGAAGCATGCTAATTGCTCTGCCTTCTCTGCTTTATAAACAACAACAAAGTTTTCTCATTTGGAGGCAGAGAAGGGTGTAATGTGTGGCTATCGATCGCAGGGGAGAGAAGATTGCCCCTGGCTGGTCACAAACCAAATGACTTTAAGATCTGAATTAAAGCGGGCCAGGTATAACTTTGGATAAACACACTGTGTAGATACACTGACAAAGGTCCTACATTTCTGAATCATTCAATGTTGGTTTCAGTATTTTGTTACAATAAACTGATACTAATTCAGAGCAGAATTAGAACCCAAAATACTATTAGAATAAACTACTTATTTTAATTATCAATTCATCTTATTTTCTTAATAAATCATTTGGTCAGTAAAATGTGTAAATCCAAGGCAAAACTGCCATTTTGTCAATCAAATCCAAAAGATATTAATTTTAGTATCACATAAAGCAAAAAAGGTTCCCAACTGAGAAGCTAGAGCAAGAGGAAAAGGTTAATTTTCTGATGATCAGCTAATTGATTTATCGACTGATCAGCTCTACAACAGAGCTTATTACGTGGAAGTAAAAGTGGATGGCTACAGTCACAGATTTTGTTGTGAAATACTTGATTCCAAGTTAAACTTGTCATAATCATTGTGTCACTAAACTAGACAGTTATACATGCCTTCATTTCATTATGACAGAATGCTCTTTTCACCTGTTTTCACCAAAAAGCCCTGGAAAGGCTACAGGCTGTGCAAAACTGAGCTGAAAGTCTTTTTTTAAGCTAAAACTACACGATGGGATCACATTAAACCTGTTGTAGCCTCTTTACATGGGTTTATTTCAGAATTGATTTTAAAATCATATTACTGGCTATTAAAGTGCTGCATGGCCTGGCACCTGGCTACATTATTGAACTGTCTGAGATCCTCCAAGCAGTGCCCTTTAAGCTATTCCACAGTCAAAGCTAAAGACCAGCGGTGACCAAGCTTTGTCCTCTGTCAAATAGCTCAATCTAGTTTTAGTTAATTCTAACCCCTCCTATTTATTGATGTATGTCATACAAAAATAACCAAAAATAGGAAACTCTGACTTCACAGCAGTCCATACAATCATACATAAGAAAAGAGCACATTTAATAGATGGAAGGTTAGGTAGACTTATGGTTGCAGTGAGTGACACTACTTGACACAAAATGATGTGATGTGATGTTCATGTAAGTAAGATGAGTAATTGCATAGTTATTACCTTTAAACAAAATCCTGGTATGTGGATTTTTGCAAGCAGCCCTGAATTTTACTGTACTAACTGTACTTCCTGATGTACAAGCACATGATATATTTCTCTTGCACAACACAAAGACTCATGGCCTAACGTATTGTAACTCCTTTAAATAATGCACACTAATGTAAAAACAGAAAAGCCCAGTTCTCATGAAGGGTCTCCTGAGCAACTTTAATCACTCAATAAAGAACGCAAACTGTTTTGTATTCTTCTTTTAACTATTCCATGATGAGGTTTGACAGCATCCTGGTACAAAGAAATTAAGCTTCTGACTCTGACTGAAGATCACGGTGCAGTGGTTAAACTGTGACGTGCTGCAATAAACCTGTCCATTTGTCACAGCAGATTAATTTTAGCTCCATCACGAACAACTCATTTTGGTTGCTCAGGGTGATTTTCTGTTTTTTCCCCCGCAAAAAAACATGGAAGCTTAAATGTCATGGTGATGAGAAGCGGTAAGGTAAAATTTTGTAGGCACCTGACTTTACAGTAGTAAAGACACCAGGCTGAAAAGACAGGCTTTGCTATGCACCTGCTCTGCTAACACTGTAACACATGGAAACTTATACAATATAGAGTTTAGGCTAAAAGGAAGCATTTGCATTCATGTACTGCAAGAAAAACATGCACAGCAGCAAGCGAGAAGAAACATATCGTCAGTGTCTGATTGACGAAGAGATATGACAAAATAATGGCACTGTCAGAATTATAAAAAATTAAATCTGATACCCAGAGACACATTTATAATAGCGGTACTTAAATTTGCTTAGCAACGGCAGCAAACAAAGTCACTGCAGGGTGACACTTGGTCCTAGCGTGGGAGGTGATTTCTTGTTAGCACATTGATAATTTACCCGTTATTACGGCATCACAGACGTGTTTTTGAGTTTCTTCCAGCATGACTCAGACAGTCTCAGCTCAAAAGTGGATCTGTGGAGACGTGCTTATGATTCTGTGATTTGAAAAACAGTACCTGCAGGATGACAAGTGTGTAAAATCTCTACTTATCTCCTCTGTGTCTCATCCTCAGTGAAAAGTGGATCACATCAAGTCCTATCAGCTCAATGCCTTCAGGAGCTATTCACGTCAAAGCGCCTTGTGACTGACAGCTAACGGGCCTTGATCACCAGACAAACGCAGTAAAAGCAGTGATCATTCTGATAGTTAAATACGAAATAAGAAACCTCACAAATACACACATACAGACTGTACAAAGACGCTGGTGTGTAAACACAAGCACACAGTGATCACTTGGTTATAACATGTGAAGACAAACTGATGATGGACAGACTAATGAAAGGTTGAACAAAAGGGCAGAAAATGCTACATAGAAGAGATTACGAGGCTATTCACCTGATCTGCCTGTCTGTAGACTTTTCCATGTGCATGTAAGTGTATATGTGTGTGTGTCCTCACCCTGTGTACATCGTTTTCATGTCCTCTGCGTCGTGGATCCAGTTCTTCATAAGGCGGCACCATGCCTTCTCTCCTTGCCTGCTGGTATTCTCTTCTTAGCTGCTGGATCCTGTCCACACTGCCCCCCACACACACACACACATACAGGTGCAGGTAGGTAGGCACACAGATGTAAACACGCACACACATACACACAGAGGAACAAAAGCACACAAAATAGGTTTTAGAAATAAGCATTAGATCATCACAGGTAAATTCACTCTGGGACTCTGGATCTTGAGAGCATTTTGACAGAAGTCATGCTCACTGAACTGTCACACTGCAACTAAATCACATCAGTATCAATATAATATAAAACACCTTGACTCAACTTTGACTGACATCACCGCCAACCAGCTGTCCTGATAATGAGCCAGCCAATAGAAGCCATCTGTTTATTCACACAGTAATTTTTCCTGACAGACACCTGCTGAAGTTTGACTGCAGAGATACAGACACAGACCCACCTGCAAACGTGCACAAGTGTGGGTGCATGCAAACACACTACACACACACACACACACACACACACACACACACACAAAGATCAAACTCTTGATTGTTCTGACTGCCTACGTCTATATCTGTTTTTCCATCTTTTGCTTTTTCTCTTGCAAAAAGCAAGAAAACAAAAACATCAATCATATGAATATTCTGTCTCTATGTCAACAGAGGAAATATGAAGCATATCAGCACTGAACCCTGGGAACCCGTGTGAGTCATGCACATGCACACATATCCACACACCCACACATAATGGAAATATGAAAAGTCATATTATACACATATGTACCCATATGCACCAATAGAAGTGCGGTGTGCAATTTCATGAGCCAAGTTGATGGAAGGAGGAAAAACACATCGATGCACAATCAATCAGAAAAGTCCGAATAATAGTGTTGCATTACCAGTATGTGACCCATAATGTAAATATTGGTTTGTTCTAGATTTGTGGGTATTTGTTTCTGTCACACTAGAAATCTCCATTCAAAAATATGTTTTAGCAATGGCAACTCTGTACTATACTAACCTTAACGCTTGACCTGTGCTAGCATAACCGTGAAGGGAAACCCTGAAAAGGCTGGGATAGCCCTCAATACTAGAGCCAATCATCATGCTCACAACATAAAAGAACAAACATGCATTAGCTAAGCTCCAGTGAGTGCTTAACACACCAACTCACATATGCTCAATAAATATATGAAAGTTCACCTGAGAGTATATGCACATGCATTTTCTAAAGTAAAAATGTGTCTTTAAAAAGACATTATTCTCCTTTTACATTGATTGTGTGTATGTGTGTGTGCTCAGCAGTTTCCCTCTGACTACAGAAGAACAGATTAGCTCCGAAAAAACAAACAAACAAACACTTATGTCCATTTATGTCTTGCCATCAAGACATTCGACAGTGATGAAAAAACACAATTACAACATATTCCATACCAGAAGCATGCTAGCAACATGTTAGACAATGACAGGGGGACATTCAAGTTGCTATCAGATTAGCAAGTAATACATTCCTTGAAAATGACAGGTCTACTATCCTACAGTACGGTATACTGTATAGGGAAATGCATTATAGCGAAACACAATTTAGTCTCAGTGTGTATGTGTCTGTGTGTGAGTGTACTTGTGCTCCATATTCTAGCCTGGGAGAGTAAGAGAGCTGTGTCAGCAGTGAAACACAACATCCACTGTGTGAACAGTACATTTGGAGCTGAGTGAAATCAGACGCTAACTGGACTTAATGACTGAGCAAAACACAGTTTTTAGTCTTGATTGTTGTATCGCCTTACCTTTGCAGTCAAGCTTTTACATTCTAATTATTAGTTTTACTGGAGTGAGATTATATTTTATCATTTTATCAGGAAATTCCCAAAATGTCTTCTTTTGATTGAAATCAAAATGCATTATCATATTCATCATCATGGGGAGACTGGGGACTTTAGTATCCCAGAATGTAGAAGGCAGAGAAACACCTTAGGCAAGCTGGCAGCTCCTCACAAGGGTATCACACAGGCAGAAATAAACACATCACATTTACAGGAAATCGATTTACATCCCACATCTTCCTTTTCCTTATGCCTCACCCTCTACCACCCCTTTCTGATTGCATGTGCTAGTGAAAAGTAGTACTGTAGTAGTACATCAAGGGATACCCACAGCACCTCACAAACCAGGAAAGAAATAATAAAAACAATACAAAGTGGAGGTCCTTATATACTTAAATATGTACAAGTCATCCCAGTCTCTTTTATTAAGGCCACTTTAGATGAATTTGAAATTATGGAGACGGTTGAACGGGAGAAATGGAACAATGGATTAAGGTTTCTTCAAACAGAACTTCCAGTGAATTTTAAAAGTGGTGTGATTGCATATAAAGTCAGTGGGAGGTTTCAAACAGACAAAAATGTTAAACTTCAACAACACGTTGACGCACAAATCCTGAAGCGGTTGTTGGATGATGGTCAAATGTATTCTACTCTATTCCTGCAGGCTCTGCTCTATTCTGTGCTTTTTTTCCCGCTGTGCTGTTTCATGTTTATGCATCACAGTAGGAAAGATTTGTGTCACAAGGAGCTCCAGATGATACACATCTCATACTCTCACACACACACACCTACACACCACCTCACCCCCTGCTCCATTTTATTGACAGAGGGCCTGGGAGGATAGGGTGGTAAAATGTACACAACATTCATTTTCTGTCCACAGACGCATGCACACAAGTAAACACACACACACACAAAGGGTACTTCATACGATTTATGACCCCACGTAAAAGGAAGAGGGTGGGCTCCAGAAGAAATAAATATGATAAACAAAGACATAACACAACACTCAGACAAACACACACACACACACATAAATGTGTGTTTATGCAAATATTTCCATGACCACAGACTGAGGAAGCTATTGATTAGCTTTAGAGAAACAAGTAAACCACAAAAAATGAAGCAGACTTGTATGACTTCACTTTTTAACTACCTTGTGGTCATTAAACACCAATAAAACTGGTTCATTTGGTAATAGCCTAAAGGCGTAGCATTGTTTTGTGCTTGTGCATGATACATGACTGTGCACCTAAAACATGTTTGTTTGCTTTCATTCTTTTATTACTTACATCAGGAATAACTTCAAGTGAGTATTCATTTTGGAACATTTGGGTATAATATTAAGGCCAGAAATAAAAACCCACTGATAAAACGTACATGTTTCAAAATAAAAGCACCGACCTGAGCTTTAGTCCGGCAACAGACTCGTTTTTCTTTCTCTTTCTCTCTCACCACCCACACCCACACACACGCACACAGATCCAGGTAGATCAATCTCTTGCTCTTGCTCTGTCACACCAATAATAATTCTATAAATGTTTAAAATCTGAATCGGAAACTCGGCGTAGCTGTTAATAATGCTGCTATTAATAATTAAAACTTCTGTTCCATTAATAATATGGTGAGATATGCCCTAAAATAAATCAACGTCCACAGTAAAGGAATATGTTCTTGTCATTAAAGACTATAAATATTTACAAGTCTGGTGATAAAAGGTGCAATTTCGTAAAGTAACAACCTTAAAATGCGTTTTCTGGAATGCTTTTAATCAGATTTGGGATCTTTTTTTGATTTAAGCCATCTTAAAGCGAGACTCCACTGCTGAAGCCTGGATAAAGTGTGACGTGTGGTCATAGATCGTGTATATTTAACATTCATTTTTAATGACATCATGTGAAATCTGTCAAACATAATTCATTCAGGAAAAATATAGTAAGTGTAGGTGTAAATCCTATGTATGTAAAAACATATTTTAATTTATTTAAGCATTAATACCCACATTAATGATAAATACCTTGAAATTGAATTATCAGCCTCGTTTACTTAACGCTTGACTTTATAACAACATTCATAATTAAAATGCTATGCTGGGTGATGTGGCAAATTCATACCATCATCAGTGCTGGCATCTAAAGGCAGACACTGTGATTTGTCATGTCCACCTGATCTACTGGTATTTTTCTTCCATCAGAAACAGAGATGAGAGATGATGGATACAAGAGAGAAATGTTGAGACAATGAAAGAGAGAAAGAGCAGGTCAATAAAATGTTTTTTAGTGCTTTGTAACTGATGACTTTGAGCTGAAAGGTTTCATAAATCTGACACAAAATGGCTAAAGGACTATGGTGTAGTCTGCCACACAAGCTGCAACACACACAAGTAAGTGCACACACACACATACATGGCATAGACACACACACAGGTAATGTATGGTTTCCTCTTGGATGTGTCACAGGGGGGATACGCCATTCAGGCTATCATTTGATTTATCACACTTTTGCAAATGTGAGAGCGTGTGTTAGCATGAGTGTAGAAGAATGCAAAGGTACAATAAACTATGTACAGGGACCTGTTAAAGGTCTTATTGCATTCTTGGAAGCAGGAAAGATAAGAAAAGGATAAAAAGGCTACCCACTGGCAGAGATGTTTTCCTTCTGAAAGCAGGAAAGTAGGATTTCCTTTCATTAGCACAAACACAAGGCTATGATAGCCATTTGGAAAAATCAATAAAGCTTGAAAACATAAACTGCAATTGATTTAGAAGCTTAAGAGATGGTACACACTGTATACAACTGGCTCATTCAGTTTCAAGGAAAGTAGGAAATTTGTGACTTTGCATCGTGCTGATGCTGATCAATGCGGCATACAATCACCGGTTCTTTTGAAGCTTTAAAATGTCAGAGTTGAGAGTGGCCATCTTAACCTTTTCAGAGCAACAGTAAATGGACATTGACTTCCTCTTCAAATGAGATGTAACAAAGCAGGAACCTTAAAACCCTTTTAGCCAATAATACAAATAGCATAAATTAAACTTAATTATATAATCACTTAATCAAATTATATACAGCTTTAATATAATTATTTGTGTTGTTAAGACTACACAAAGAATACATTAGTATTTGAACTATTTTAACTCATAAATTAACAGTCTAAACACACAAACTTTTAATATTTTTAGGCTGGTATCATCTCTTGGCAATGACAGGACACAGACCACAGTCAATAACTGTGAGTACAATAGAG